GCGATTTACCTGCGTTTTAGAAATAATTCGTGCGGACAAATTGTTTGTGACTTGATCACTATCTCCGTGCATTTGTATAATTATTGTTCATAACGTATTCATAATAAACACGTTTAGCGTGTGTGCCACGGTTTCATGTTTAAGCAGTAGGGACGTAGGCGTTAAAATAATTAATAATTTTATTACTTTTATTTAATAAAATCGGTGTGCTCGGTTTGTGGGACCGGTTACGAAATATTGTATAAGTACAGTTGGATTTCAACGATTTGACAAGTCTATAATATTATATTAATATACATGTATATTATAATAACGTGCCGACAAAATATATTATATTCTGTTAGGTACACATGTGTGAATACTTAGAAAGTAAGCATTGAGCTATAAGCAAAATTTAATGAAATTCATCGAATTTTTGCAATTTCTTAATACTTATTTTATACAATTTGTTTCAGTGTATGGGCTTTTATAGGCTTGCAATACTTACTCTTTGTGAGTAGTTCGATGTTTTCGATCTTTRTCTCACCATCATCATCGTCGGAAACGCTTAGCTCGCCAAGATTAAGTATGGCTGCCAAAATCCGCCAGGTTGTGTTCAACTGTTCGTCAGTAAACTCCAATGTTTCCTTCATGCAAGTCAACAGTTTGTTGAAGTTTTTCACGTTGGAATTGGGCTGGTGACGATATCGCTCGTCTGAACCGTCACCCACTAAGTACCGATACCGATGGTCCTCCTCCAAGTGGTATTGCTTGAGAACGTGATCAGCTTTGGCCGCCTCCAGAAAATCGTAGAACACGTGGAAATTCTTTTGTCCATTACTCCTAGAAAAAAAAAATGTAATTCATTATACACCATTGTACATATTATACTAGTATTTGTGTAAAAATTTGAAATACAATTTTGAGTAGATAAATAATTTTAATACCAAAGTGGTCAATATATGCTATTATATTTTTTTATTTATAAATAAATAATTATAGATACCTATACGATCATATTAATATTGTGTATATAATTTAAAATGAGTTAAAAAGAAAATAATACATACACTGTCCATCACCTCCATCATACAATTAAATATAAAAATTAAGTTTTGAAAACTTTAAGTCTGAATTTAATTTCATGGACATTTTTCAAACGGTTATTATGTTTTTTGGCAATTTTTATATGTAAAAATTTCATTACCTATTATTTAATACACGGCGAGCACTCGAATTTCTCCAGTGCAAATAAATATATTTAATATTTATGCGTTAATATAATTTCGTATAAGGTATAAAACCCCTAAGACTTTATTAGAAGAAAGTATATTTTATTTTAAGAAGATAATATCGTTGTATTATTATTTGTTTGTCAAAAATTGAAAAATATTCACTTTGCAAGCTACTTCACGTGTCTTGTTATCTAGAAAATTCAAGCAAAGCYTGACCTTACAATAGTCATATTATCTTAACTTTAACTTAAAGTTATCCTAAAKCATAATTATTTTAAAAAATATACGATACATCAGGTTGGAACTTGTCGAAAAATATTCATAGAAATAATATAATAGTATATGTCTGGTGGCTAATCGATACACGCGTAGTTGATAACCGTAAAAAATATTAACRTGGTATATTAGTGATAAACAAAATGTTAACCGCTCACTTGGTGTTTGTTACTCTCCATTTCTCTAACTGGTAGATGAAAAATATGGCCCCACTGATCTTGCCAGTCGACGAGTATGTAATTTGCGTCTGATTAACGTGCCGAGTGGAGTTTATGTGATATTTATTGGCCKCGTTCCCGAATGCTTGAATTGTATCTATTGCGCACTTTATCTTCAAACCAATGTCGTTCACTTTGTTGTGGTTTTGCTTAAAATATCAATCAAAATAATATTATTTATTGATTGTCATGATATTTTAATATAAGCTCATAAATTTTGGTGAGGCGCGGTCGTACGCTCAATCTGTGGAAATGCACTATACGTACCGGCTAGCTAACCTAACCTAACCTAACCGTTGCTAGCTCCGTATGGGTGACCACCCGGGATTCTTAGCAACATATCCTTGCGACAAATACACAAACATGTGTTGCAATCCTACCAACTTAAGACCCTATACAAACAAAAATAACCTCCAACGTCCTACACCATACCCAATACGTTGACGTGGGTTCCCCTAAAAAATCTATTTATTTGGATTTGAATATTCTTTTTAAATAAATAACAWTWATAATACATTATTTGATAAAGTCACGGGCCAGAAGAACATTTTTCTACCTATAGGTATATCGTATATTATTGATACGATGTAGATARATATATTGCCCGCGTTTATATAATAATAATCATATTTTGACGGATTAAAATAAAATACAAACCTCTCCCAAAAACAGCAAGTGTTCTATTAATTTCCCATAATTCAACGACTTCCCTGATTTAGTTTCACCCGCCATCAATATGTGTTGTGGCTGTTCGTGGTGTARCATGTCTTGATAAGCTGCATCGGCYACGCTAAATATGTGAGGYGCATTGTCGGATCGGCATTTGAATTGATAACGATAATGATACTGAAACGTACGACAATAATAACAGTTGTTAATAGGAATAAATTATAWAAATAAATCGTTGGATTACCATACCTACTTAATGGCTTGAAAACTATTATAATATTATGGAATATGGACTTGTTTGAGAGACAATATAACAATCAAATAAGGTAGATAAATTAGATACACAAATCACAATTATTGATGACTTGCATTCAAGGCCGTCAGGCAATTAAGGTGCATACTGCTTTTACAAAAATATAAAATTACTCTTCATACAATAGTCAATAAACAATATGGACATTTCACGGCTATAATGCTTTTACTTTTAAAAATCTTGTGGGTTGGTCCGGTCCCTGGAGCTCCCCCCCCCCTGCCCGTTACGTTGCTGCTTGTAATGTATTGTTTTGGTTTGTTGACGGTACATTTTTGGATGGTGGTAAACTCTCCCGATTTTTTAAAATAGTAAGCTCTTCCGGGTCAACAATAATATGTTTACCTGAAGGAAATATGTAAACTCTCCAAGGTCAATATTATGTTTAACTGATGGAAATCTATGAACTCCCCTGGCTCAACGCATTATATTTACTTTTTACTTGAAGGAAATATGTAAACTCCTTCGAGTTGTTTTACAATTATCTCTTAAAAAATTATAAACTTAACACATCAAAAAATAATCACATTACTTTTTTATTAAATTTGTATAGTTCTATGATTTATATAATTGACTTTTTAAACGAATTTTAAAATGTTTATTAAATTTGAAAAAAAATGTATATTCATATTATTACAAACAATAAATTATGAAGTATAAACGAGGTTATTTCAAACTTGTAAAAGTTTTCATGTATCCTTCAAGCAGTACTGCAGAAGTATATTTATGGTAGATGATGGTTTACCATCTGGAGAGCTWACAATCTACCACATTTTTATGAGCTGTTATATAAAAGCTGTTGGGATCGAAATTACTACATTGATATTTTTTGATAATATTTACGACCTTTACGACATTAATATTTTAATTATTATGACTAAACATAATTAATCGATCACTAAAATGTGAGCAAAAGAAGGCTTTATTGTCTGATGTAGTRRAATAATAGTAGCAAGAGTTCCTTGCCAGMCTGTTAGTGGGATGTTGGAAATGGAATATTTTCTACACAATTATGATAATCCAAATTAATTTATTGGATTCATAATAATTATTATATTAACATTTAACAAAATTTTTGSAAAATAATTAATGATAGCTTCTTGTCCTTCTTTTCCTTATCAATTTTACGTTATACTTAAACAGTTTAACACTGTTGTAGTATGAATTTTTTATTATTTTACAGTAACAAAATATATATATATTTGAACACAGCATCATTTTATATTAATATCAGACAATATTTCTTTGTGCTCTGTTGGGCACAAAAATAATTAGTATACGTTTTTTTCTTAAATTCTCTTTGCAGATTATATCTATAATATTGTTTTAAACATTATTGTRATCGATTTTGAAAATAACAAAAATTTAATATGGAATGATATTAATTTACTAAAAACCTAGTTTTCAAAAATCAGGCTACATAATATCATTATGTTCAGGGTGTCTCGTGAGACTATACCCATTAGCTGTAGAGTGGGATTCGCTGCCCGGATAAAAACTAGTTTTTTTTCCATTTTATCTATGAATTAAAAAATTGACTAAAAATCATGTAATTAATGAAAATATTCAGCAAAATATACTCTTTAAAATAGGTAGCTTTATTTTTTTACAAAATTCAAAAATTCAAAAATAATTTTTTTAAACTTTTCTACCAACAAATGTAATAAAATAAAATACATGTAGTCCTTATCTACGTAAGTCTAATAAAAAAACAGATTTATGATATATTTAGTATCTCAGGATATATCACTATTGGTAAATCCTAGTGGGGCACCCTATATACTATATAGGGTGATTCAAAATGCATGCTCACCTTCCACACCCCTTTTATTACTTAAATAATAAATTTATTCAAATTTTGATTTTTTAATTTTTTAAATACACTCAAAGTTAGTTTTTTCAAATCCTAGAATTTTTTCGTACTACTTAAGGAATGTCCTGTAGCATTACAAACTTCTGTTTTTTTTTTAATGAGAACCACCCTTGTTCACTAAAATTATTAAGTGGTTAATTTTTTGAAAATGTTGATTTACCCGATTCAAAATTCAAATGAGTAGTTTCTTAGTTATTAAATTGTTCGTACTAAGGATAATAGCACTTAAAAATAGTACAAATATATAGATTAGATACAATTTTGGTTCTAGTATTTATTATATATGAGCCATTTATAACAAAATATTATTGTTGATAAATTTATATTGGCGACTAAAATGATCAATGCACCAGTGTCTCCATATCTTTTGAGCTCTTTATCATGTACCTTTTATCCTTAGAATACTAAGTTAAATTGTTCAAAACTAGTAATACGAATTTTGATTCTAATACGTCATTTATTTTTTAATCATCCACGGAATAATTTACAATTGAAAAAAGAGGTGGGGTGTTCTCATCAGAAAAATAGAAGTTTTTACCTCTACGTGACACTTTTCTTAAGTAGTACACAAAATCTCAAGAATTAGAAAATAAGGTATTTATATGTATACCTATTTAAAAATTCAAAAAATCAGAATTTAAATAACTGCATTTTTTAATTTAAAAAAAGAGGGAGTTGAGCACGCTTAGTGAATAACTCTATATTATAAATTATAATATAAAATACCTACTACAATAATATGACCTACATAATAGTTGCCTGTATCGGTACCTGTTTAGTTTTAATATGGTACGCTCAGAATTATATATACGGAGGAGGTTTTATATATTATGCTATATCTATAACGATAAAAATTAGTTTTCAACGCCTTAAGTGACATAATATTATTAGTATTACCTTTTTTTCGTAGATAGGCTCATCTCGATTTGGATTCACGTACAACAGCACGTCACCGACAAACGTGTAGCTCAAACCATTCATATGGCGATTTTGCAATTCGTCGAGAACAGCCTCTTCGGACACCACTTTCAACGCGGCTAAATCTTCCAGATGCATGGGTCTGGCAGCTTCTTTTTGATTCACCTGTAACATAAATCATTCCCATCATCTGAGTTGTGTTGTACACGTCCATCCAATTCCTAGCCGTTGTATTGAACGCAAATCGCATTTTGTACCGCACACGCTCAATAACAATTATAATAACTTTACAAGACAATGGACGCGACGATGTTCGCGGCGAACGTGCGGTTTGTTTAGCTCTCTTCGCTAGATTCGCTACTCTTATGTTTGTCGGATGATAGAACCACACATATTTTTAATTTTATRTAGTTGTAATGTTTTTTTCATTTTAAAAATAATATATACCTACCTATATATTCTAATTGCTATTTAAATATTATACCAAAATGCAATAAATTTAAAAAAAAAACATATACGCACACGTTCAAGCAAGCGGGATTCTTACATTGTTCATAAAATTGTATGACATTGTATGTAAAACATTCGTAGTAGTTTTCTTTTTGTCGAGACGAATCGAGACGTAATAGAGACGTGCATCTACGAACTTCATTGAAACGACAGTTGATCGTATAATATTCATCGAGTTTTCAAACCAAAAGGTACGTTCAAATCCATTTTATTTTCCCTTTTTGCGTTGATTAAAATTGTTAAAAATTGACCAGATAATGACAATGTCATACAAATATTGTAAATAAAATATACAAAATACTCATACCAAGCAATTATTTACATATTAATTTGTGAACTCTGACGATATTTTGTTGCTAATAATATCTGCCTACTTAAATATTATATTTGTATAAAGCACATTATTTTAATCGCCGAATTCAACTGATACGCTTATATTTTGTAACGATCACAATATGTTTTAATTGATACCAATTATAGCTGCAAATATTTAAATAATGTATCAAAATAAAAATGAAAAAATAATTCAAACATAATATTAAATACAATTAAATGATTGAACAACTAATAATGGATATATAACCACTAAACGTGATGAAAACGATAAGTAAAGTTCATTAACGATCGTTTTGAATGTCAATAATTCAGACACAAAGCCATGTATTTTCATATAAGGGAAAAATATGTTTTGGCTCCTTTTTACTTGATGTAGAATATGTAAATAATGTAAAATATTTGCGAACATTCGAATTCAAACATTCAAAGTTTTTCATTTCTCATCGTTAATTACTCAATCCAATTCCCGTCCAATTGTATTTTTTTTTAATCTCAATCTCAAAAAAAATACTGCTACAACTCATAATTAAATTAAAAAACAAAAATACCCAATTATATTGTTATACATTTTTGATAGTAATACCTACTTTTTTATCTATAAGTAATTTTAAATACTATACATTATTTATACTTGCTTTTAAGTATCCATTTTTTATGATTCTGACTTCTGGTTTTCGAATAGATGTCACGTCGTCAACAATTGATGACATCACTGACTTGACTTCTTGTTGTACCTAAAATCATAATAAGTTATTTTTTGTACTCAAACAATAATACATTATTATCTATATGAAAAATAAAATAATTTAAATTTTCAAAACATAATTAATCATAAACAATATGGTTCAATAAGGATATAATATAATGTTTTGTGTTCGTTAGAGCTAAGTTTAATATACATTTATAACATATGTCCGATCTCTGGTATAATATAAATTTTCTTTTAAACCTAACTATTTATTTTTATTTTAATGCATATTATATTATTTTTTGATCAATTATATGTGCAGCGTAAACTTACATTTTCTGGAACTTGCGTTATAAACGGATGTTCTAAAAGCTCTTCCATGTATGGACGGTGATCAGGATTTTTTTCCAAACACCTGATATAATTTTAAAAAACACCATTATCATAGAATTAATATAGTCCAATGATTTTAACTATGACGTAATTCCATAATATAATATCTGATTTTACTGCGAGACGTATTGTTGAATAATAGTATTCGCAGTTCCAATTTGTATTTTGAAATCAAGCATTGGTGTAGCCCGGGTAGGTATTGATTTCAAAAGTAGAATCTACATTTAATACTTTGTTATACTTACTCATAACCATTGTATGTTTGGGGATAAAACTTTATCGTGGATTAATATTATAGTGTAATAAAAATAATCAGAAAAACAAAAATAAGTATTTTCAATGCCATCGAGACTAAAAACTATATATATATATATATAGTTAGTTATATAAGAATTGAAATCACTATGAAGACTGCAAGAGATTATGCTTTAATTAGGTGCTACGATTCATTATGTAGTACTACAGTATATGATTTTCATATTGCATTAATCAGAATATGAATATTCGACTTTAAATAGTTAAAAAAAAGAAAAGAGAAAACACGATGAAAGTGACAATTTGTATAAAACTATAACTCTTATTGACAATATTTTACGGTACTCGGTGAAAAATAAGTATCTGTACTTGTAAACACACATCAAATGTTTTAAAACGTGGAATATTCTTTTGTTCGATTTAAACGAAAGTACTCATAAGTCATTTAAGCTAATTACAACGGCGTTCCCTTGATCAGATAATATCTGAATATCCTTTCTTTGGCTTCAAAGAGCATAACCACTTGTTACCGACGATATACCCTCCCCGGTTTTTCTTTTGTACCACTAGTCAATACGCCGAGAATATTAGGCATGTACTTGTTTTTCGATATTTTGTTTACAGTAAACCGCAATATACGGCCTATAAAAAAACTGCGTGGAACGAACTGTCCAACTAATTAGTTAGGTCATATCCATTGTTTCAGAACATAGTAAATATATTTTTTTCCTCAAAACACGTTTAATTTTTAATTTAATATTTAAAAAAACTATCTTATAATAGAGCACTAATGTAAGTGTTGGTGAATTATTAGGTTAACTTTATGCACATACTGTTTGATGCAGAAAATTGCATAGGACTCATAGAAGGTTGCCACATGTTGCAATTTTCGCTAGCACATAGCTGAAATGTTAGCTACTGTTGTGTATTGTTATTTTTAAAGTACGACAAGTTATTTTAAATAATCGTATATAAAAAACGATACCTATTGAACGGATTCGATGATTTTTCTGAGTTTTCCTTAGGTATTAGTACTCATGAATAAATACTTAAATAAACGGTTTTTGATAAATTTATGCAAATTTGTAAGCATTTATAGTATTATTATAGGTATCTGTAATGAATATTAGTTAATTTTGTGCTCATTTTAGATGAAATAATGACCATAATACTTCTTGAAATGCATTATTACATTGTAAAATTAAATTAAATTTCTATCCTAAAAAACGAATTAATAGAATAAAAATAGTAAAATTAAAACACATAAATTCGTAATTCTAAATCTATATAATATACTGAATTTAAATTTTAGAAATAATTATTTAAGCTACTTTAGGCTAATAACATCAGATGTTAAGCCTATTAACTTAATTTAAAAAAATATATATATTCGAGGTGGCTTGTTTTTACACACCAGCAGTTGCAATTCAATAAGTATGTATCTCTATGAAAAATTATCTGCAATTCCACGTAGTTCATTATTACTCGGTAATACGGCTTAATACTCAAATAATAATAGTTTTGATGGAATATTCCAAAAAAATTAAAATCTAATAATAATAAAATACCTAGTATGCTACATCAGTATTTTTTTTACGAATCCAACTGAATGTTAAGTAGCTTATACTATATAGGGAATATGATAACTATTATATATATATAAATTATATCTATCATATATAGTATGACTTTATAACGATTTTTATATTTTACTGTGTTACCGCCTAAGAAGTGTTTTAACTAAATTTTGAACAATATTTGTAGTGTTTCACTAACACGATACGTATCGCCGATATTAGACACGGTATTCCATTAAATTGTTAAAATTAATTTCCAGGTGGCCACCTGCCCCATCAGAGTACCTATATAATATATATATATATCAATTGTAATAATACACTACCTACATTATACAGTTTATGTAATATACAACTAATCGATCGTTTTCGTTTTTGTGGTTAATATTATGGTAACACAGCCGCGATATTAATAACAAATCGCATTGCACTCCTTACTCCTCCCACGCATTAACTGTAATAGCTTACTCGGCAATGAAGTCATTAAACAATTGTGACCAGTTCGACGGTTTTGATAGTCCTGGGGGCGGATTTCTAACAATCTGGAACAACGCCCTCGTTGGGTGGATGTCGAGGTACGGTGGCTTACCGTCGCCTAACTCAATAGCAGTAATTCCTAGAAAAATAAATAAATAACGTCAACTATTTCGTCATAAATTATTGTTTATTTTGTAAAATAAAATAATATTTTTCTTAAATTTGTTCAATGCGTCAAGGACAAAACTACAATATTGTTAAAAATATATTAATTGAAATATTATCTATTATACTGGCCAATTTTTACTAGGTAATTGATTATAATATTGCGAATTCATTTTTAAAATGTATTATTCATGACCTGCTAACAAACTTACCGACAGCCCACACGTCGATTTTCTGATCGTAATATGATGGTTCTTCGCTTGAGCTGTCTTTGTATTCAGCCAAAACTACTTCTGGTGCCATCCATGCAGGAGATCCGACTCCCGTTTTAGCTTTATATTCCGGACTCTGTAGTTCCCTTTATATAACAAAATACGTGAAACGTCAACACCGTTATGATCATATTGGTTTATAAATTTATATTATAATAATATTACAACTGTTAAATTGTTTTTATCTGTCTGAAAATAAAAATGAATGCTTAAAACGATTTGATGATTACAAAAAATTCATTATTTTACATTTAATATTATACATTTATACATATACTTATACTTATATTCCAGATTAAGGTTACTGTTTTAGAAAAATAAAATATTTGTTATATTTTATTACAGTTTTCACGGTAAAAACTCTATGAATAATAAGATAAGTGCGTATTATTGTAAGTGCGTTTTACTTATTGTTGACGTTTTTCAGAAAATTAAATTGTAAGCTTAATCATTTAAATGAAAAATATTTATTTATGATATCGATATGTATATAGTAGGAATTTTTCATAATTTTATGGCACACAAGAAAAAAATCAGTTAACCTAACGTTAGAAAAATGTGCTCCCAGATGAAGCTTCCTAATATTTTTGGATCTCTATGTTATCCCCTTCTCCAATTCCTACATTTTCTCGCTTTAGGTCCGTATAAAAACCCATCACGAAATCACTGCAGTACAACAGTCAATAATATATTACGTTTAACTTAAATCGACGAATCAAATGTTATAAGGCTATAATAATATGGCCGATTCGTTCGATTTAGTGGCGTCTCCTACCACTTGGATATTTATTTTTACTTTATTATGTATCACTATATAAAAATTTCTATATACCAACCCAATCGCGTTCATGACAATTGTTAGGGTGTATAATATTATTATGGTAGAGTAAGAAATAAATCGTGGTTTGCCATATTGAACTTGTATTAATTGAAATAACCATTTCCTCAATATTGTTTAGTATCACTAATTAAGTATTATTATTAATATAACGAGACAATAATAACACATTTAAAAAATTATAATTTGGTATTACGTAAGTCGTGGAAAATGTGTGTGGTAAAAAAAAATATCCAACTGTTATATCGTTTGCGTTTTCATTATTTTGATCTACAATTGACAATCGTGCAGATCGTAAAAACTCTTAAACTATTCGCAGCAGGGGGCTTCCAAACATAAATTATAATGAAATAAACTAATAAGTAATAAGTTTATGTATTATAGTTTGTAATTTATAACTTATAAGTCTATAACACTCGGACTTGGACACACGACAATATTTTGACGAAACGTCTTTGAAACATATATACCAGCCGTAGTGTCTTGTATACTACCTAGTATAAAAATCGTTTTCTTTTGTTTATATTATAATAATATATAACGGGAAAAGTAAGAAAACGGACGATGCACACAATCATTACACAATATCGGATTACAGCGGTCAAAGAAGGAAATTACTAGGAAAGTATAGAAAATAATGTGCTATTAAAATTATCATTTTCATCTTGCACAATGCTTTGCCCGATTGTGATATATTCATTCAAAATTCAATACAAGATAGTTTTTAATCAATTTTTTCGTGCGTATTACTGATTTGGACTCCGATGTGGATGTCGACTCATTGGGAGAAGCAAAATTTGCATTAACGTTTTTTCTCTAGCTATGAAGTTTGATGGAATAGAGCCAGGGGTGGCCATATACTAACCTTTATTTTGGGAGCCGCAAATTTATAAAACTATTTTGAAGTGAGCCAATTAGTTAAGATAGGTAGGCAGGTATGTTTATAAAACGAAAATATATTTTTGATTTTCTAACAAATAAAGGAACATTCATTTTTTGCAGTACACAGAGCATAATTGTTCAGGTAGTAATATAGCAGATATTCAGAATGGGATTTTACTTTTGAGGAGTGTTTTTTATATTATAATATGAATTAATTTTACTCTAAGCTTAGTTTCAACTTTCAAGAGTCACACGAGACTCACTCGGAAGCCGCATGCGTGTGTGTATGTGTGTATGAACAAGTATAATATTAGTATAACAACGTTACCTGGATTGACCGAAATCTACCAACTTCACTTCCCCATTCTTAGTCAACAGCACGTTCGAGCCTCGGATGTCTCTGTGAATCACGTGATTGTTGTGTAAAAAACACAAGGCCTGAAAAATTATAAATGGTGAAAATCGGTCTTTATTTTATTTAATTTTGTATTTTTTGAAAATAAAATAAAAGCAACTACTTATACAAAATGTTGTTAGAGCCACGTTCGTGACGTCGTTACGGATATAAAAAATTTAAATGCCACTAAACATTTAGTTGTGAAATAATTTTATACTTCTGTTTGATATATCGTAGTACCTACATGAAACTGTTTAAACGCTGAAAATTTGGATTTAAACGAATTAAAACACATTCGAATGGTGAAATATTTTTAAGTTTCCATTTTTAAGACAGTGAAATACACTCTTAGTTAAATATTTTTACCTAGCAGATTAGTATTTCAATTTCATTGAAATCGAAAAGTGTCTATAGTCAAAATATGATATTTGTCAACTGTTTTATTTTTATTTAGTATTGTTTTACTTATCAATGTTTAACGTACATACCTTGATCAGTTCTCTAAGTAAGTAACCGATATGTTCTTCTTTCATTTTTTTGTTTTGTAACAATAGACCATTGACCAAGTCCACGACAGTTCCTCCTTCACACATCTATAAATGACATCAGTGATTGAACGAGATTTATAGGCTTATAGTCTTAGGTGCGTTATAGGAATATATTTTTATTATTTACTAGTTTATTATTATACTTAAAGTTCTCGATATTTTAATAAAACACATTGAAAAGAGAACACAATGTACGTTTATATATAACACTTTAAATGCATAAGTTAACACTTAGTAATGGAATAAAATAACACTATAATGCATAAATGGATAATTTATGTATACGTAAACTGCAATGCAAATTTATTTTTCCATATAACGTGAAGCAAAAACCTGCAGTTTTTACTTTTGTTAGGTAGCTAAATTTTGGAATATATGTATACGATATAATCGTTTTAAAAAGTACTCATGTCAAAATGAAAATATGTTGTGACATATAATGTTCAAATATAGTTTGTTTTTTGTTACATTACCGATAACTATCCAAAAGATATCTTATTATGCATTCACAACTAATTAAAAATATAATAGTATAATTATTAAGTTAAGTTTAAATAATTTGAAGTGAAAGAAAACAAAACTATAAAATATATTTTAACATTATTATAATATAATAATATGTATAAAAATTATAAGATGGGTATCTATAAATTATGAAAATAGTATAACTGAAATAATAATATAAGTAAAGCTATTGTTATTAAGACATTAAGTACTTTAATTATGAATTTTACAATTAAAATTAATAGGAGTTATGTATATATATATGTATTATACCTCCATGACAAACCACAATTCAGCAGCATTATTGTTGGTGTAAGCGCCGTAAAAGTCGGGTATGTTTGGATGCGACGATAGATCTCTCAATATCCGATACTCTTCGTTGGTGTCTTTTTCGCTAGTCGAACATTCGTTGAGTTTTTGAATTTTGATCGCGACATTTTTTCCTGAATTATAAGGGTTAAGAATTTATGCAATTATTGTTTCATTAAAAACTCGTAGTATAAATATTGTGAGAAATTAATTAATTAATTAGGAGTTAAGATACGTATTTGGTTTAGCGGTTTAGGTACACATAAAATATTATAACAATTATGTATTTTGGGATAGACTTATGTAAAAATTCAAAATGTATACGCTATAATAGTACTACAACGATTGTAGTAAAGTTGTTTTTATTTTAGCTATTAAATTGGCGCACCTTGAGAACAAATATTCTTTTTTTAAACAAAAAAAATGGCAACTCATAATAATATTAAAATATAACTTTAAATAGCGAACATCAAACTATTAAAACATTATAGGTAGATACTTTGTTTTGGGTTTAACCTCTCCCATATCATAATTCATTAGTAAAATTGAAATTAAAACACATGTTTCAAATCGTAATGTAGGCGAGAACTTAGAATATTAATGGCTGAAAAGAAATATGCGATGAAAAAATTTTTACTCAAACAATGCGTAAGACAACTACTTGTTAATTTTTTTTCAATTAGTTACAAGTTTTGATGTTAATGTGTTAACTGTGTACACTTTTGATATTAATTCAATTTTAAAAATTCAAACTCTATTGCCGAACAATTACACTAGAACTAAGTCTACATTTCCAGCTCACGATTTTGGAACTTGTTATTGTAATAATCTGACTAATTTAACTGAAAGTAAAGCGATTTTGTAGTCTCGCACGCATTCTAAGCAGTATTATCCGAACTTAAGAAGTTTAACTAGAACTCTTAAGACTAAAAATCGTCTTCAGTTTATATTCGCATTAATTATCAGCTTCATGTCATGCGTATCTACAGTCTTCACGCATGATACGAGTGATTTACCGATTAAGTTTGTAGCATAAGTTTTATAACAATATATTATACAGGGTGTCCCGTGAGGATTTACCCATTGCRATATCTCACGAAATAATATAGATATCAAAATTCTGGTTTTGTTATAACTTATAAAACTCACAGGTATAAATTATTTTATTTTATTATTTCCAAAAAAAAAAAAAATAAAAAATAATGAAAGATGGCCGTTTTGCAGTAGAGTTTATTTTTCTGAAAATATTGACGTTTCAAAATTTTATTTTCATAAATTTCCCGATTTTTAATATTTTTTTTAGTTTTGATGAAATAAAATATGATTATAAATTTATAACTATTAGGAACACGGAAAGTATTCGGCCGGCCGTATGGGAATTCTCTAATTAAATCCAGGAAATTAACGAAAGTAAAATTTTGAAACGTCAATATTTTCAGAAAAATAAACTCTACAAAGTGGTTATGGTGAATTTTTTTGTGAATAATTAAATAAAAAAATATTAACTTTTCTAACTTTCTTACCAAAACATTAAAATATGAAATAATTGTAGTTCTTAATTCTTATCCCTGTGAGTCTTATTATAAAACCAAAATTTTGATATCTCCATTATTTCGGGAGATATCACAATGGGTAAATCCTCGCAGGACACTCATCTGTATATATTCTACTAAACCGAGTAACATATTATTAAATTATTATTTTTAAACATGATGAAATGAATAAGTAGCCAAGTAGGTATATAAAATGGTTTATAAAAAATATATTGTGTAAAACATAAAGCACGATCAACTCAATCGAGATATATGCGTTTTCATTTATAATTTTATACGCTTTAATAGATCTTTTAATATCTATTAAATTTATTGACATTACTTGTGATGATCATAAAATAATAAACAACAAGGACTGAGTATCGATCAAATGAAATGAAATCGATTTATTCCTCTCCTTAGGTGTGATGAATCCGGCAAACCGCAATAATAATAAAATATAATATACATTAATAATTTTCAGACGATTCGCCATGATTATAATGTTAACATCATCGTAATAATTCAAACAATTCAGATAGAAATAAAATTTATGAAATTTAAAAAACAATGTTATGAAAATTAAATTTCTGATTGGCCTTTGCGGTCATGAGTCCATGACTGACGTTTTATTCTCGAATAATATTTTTAAACTAATAATTAAAAATACATCGATCATAATAAAACTTCACTATAGGAAACGATTTAAGAATAATAAGACAAATTTATTTATAAAACGTTGGTGGGTGAAATGTATAATTATCGAGTTCTGTAGTGTTAATCGCCTAGAAAATAAACAAGCGTATAACTTTTCAAAGATTTGAATTATTAATTAAATTTTCGTTTTTTATTTAAAATTTTCAATTATATGTTTTGGTAGAAAAAAACGTATTCACTGTATAAATCATAATATGACAGCTAGAAGAAATAATTTATTTTAATATGTTTATTGTATTAAAGATGATGTGTGAAGCTTAAGCCATCATCAAGAAACATTATTAATTATTATGCCACCAAGGCTACAATAGAATCAATCTAGTAATATATAGTATTTATTATTTATTGCTGAGTACCTATATTACTTATTAAGTTTTTCCAAGTCTGTAAAGTAACTGTATTTGTTTTATTTATTTTTTTGATGCATGTTAACTCTAATACAACATATTATTATTAAATTATATTATAGTAAGACAATTCTATATTGCATCATTAATAACTATTATTGATAAAAAACAACACAACTCATAATTTACGAAAAAATATTTCGTGTTCGAATGTTTAGAACTATACATTTTTGGTTGTACTTTATAGATATAACACAGCAATCGCAAATTCAAATAAAAACGGAAATATGGGGAAAATACTTAATAAAAAATAATGTATGTAAATAATAAAATACACTCGACAACAGTGCAATTTCGCTAATTTGTTTATCGTTATGTGAGCGTTCATTGTTTTATAATTTAAAAAACTACCTATAAATTTTTATTAGCCACCGTGTCATCGGTACTAATAATGATATATAACTTAGACAATAATTCAAGGACATTAGAAGCTATATAAAATGAGTATAACGAATAATACAATTGTTCGATTGCGAATTGCATTGCTGGACAGCATAAATTCCAAAAAACTCGTTGACAATAAAAATAGAATGTGTAAACATTACACACGTGATGTATATCACTATAATACATCGTTATTCATAATATTACATATTATTAATATTGTTAGGCATGACTTATTCTCTCTTTAATACTTTTTATGGTAATTTAGTGTTTTATTCATATCAGCTTTAATTTTTTTATTGATTTCTGTTATATTTTTATTTTTTGATAATTATTGTTTTTGGAAAAGTCGAACGTGACCACTACATCTCAGTACCTAATTGCGATTTGACTTTCAAGGATTACACTAAATATAAAAATAAAGCCTTAAGAAGTCGCATATTATACACTACAACTATAAATTAACATATAAATTATATTATATATTTTTATTAATTAGGAACATATTATTTTTTTAGTAACGCTTTGAGCGAAACAATGTGAAAAAGAAATATTTTAACATTTCACGACTATAATAATTAATAATGTTAACGTATATTTAATTTACAAAAAGCACATTTTTTTCGTAAACGGGT